CCAGAAAGTGGACTGTTTTCACTTGGTATGTGGAGTTTGCACTCCCAGAATTTGGAATTCTGGGAGTTGTGATTCAGGGCATTCCTGTCCTCATATCCTAGAAGATCAAAGAACATTATATCCTCTCTTTTTCTTAGAGATGGGGTCGCGCCCTGTTGCCCGGGCTGGTTTCAAACTACTGGGCTCAAGTGATTCTCCCGCCTCAGCCTCCAAAACTGCTGGGACTACAGACATGTGGCACCACGCCCAGCTGTCTCTTGAAGAGTGTTTTAGGCTAGCTGTACCCCGACAAAGCAGGGAGAACATGGATTACTCTTCTCTCTTTTTAAAGGACTGAGGTTTTACCTGAATGTCATGATTGACTAGATTTTGGAGTCCTTAGTTACAATTTAAGAGGCTGGAGTAAGTCAGAGTTACGTTTAATTTACTGTAATCCTAATAATCAAATTTAGATGGATACATCACATAAGAATTTTCACTGAAAACGGGAGTAACTTTAGTAAAGCCTTAACCTGTTCACAGTTGGGGCTCAAATTTGGACCTAGTGCTTAAGTCCAAACTTCAATCTCAGCTTATTTTCCTTTGTTATTGTCTCAGCCCAGGTTTCACAGAAGCAGAGTCCAAGACAGGGATTGGGAACATGTAATTTATTGAGGGAATGCTCTTTAGGGAAAAGGGGTTAGAGAGGTAGAAGGAGCCAATCAGGGATGTGGTCTCAGGTGAAATCTAATCTCGGCCTGATCCACGAGGGGAGAAGTGCAGAAACAGAAACTGCATTGATGAGTGTCCCCCCCAACCCGTGCAGGAGGGGGACAGGATTTTGAATCCCCCTATCATTCAGGCATGGCTATGGGTAAGGGAGGGGACAGTGGCCTGTAACTCATTGTGTATATCACTCTCATCTACCTGCCTCTACTATGCTGTGCTTGGCTTCACTCAGTTACTGATTAACTTGATGTTTTTCAAGTTTAAATCCTTTAGAAGAGCATTGTGAAATCCTGTATGCAAAAAGGATTTATCGAGTGCATTTATTGAGGTGGTGGCTCTGATTAGCTAAGAGCGGTTCTCCTGAGAAGGGGACAGCTGCGAGCTGTGAGCAGTGAGCAGCACACTCCCCTTGGAACAGCTGGGGGCTGGGTGTGCTGACTGGGAGGAGGCCCAGGTGTGGCACCGCAGCATCTACAAGGGTCCCCAATCCCGTGTTCCATCCCTCTCACCTCTGGGCATTCCCATCCATGCTCCGTTCCCATACATTCCCAGACGTGCTCTTTTGTCTGACTAGAACTTGTTTTCTTCTCTTTTTCATATTAGACATCACCCCCTCCAGGACACCTTTGCCAACCTTTCGCGACTAGTCTAGACTTTCCTGTGTTTTCCCATCTACACAGCATTCCATCTTAGAGCTGGCAACCTGCTTATCTGGGCCCATCTTAACCGTGAGCTCCAGGAATTCAGGGACCACGTCTGTCTTGGCTTCCTCTCTATGTAACACTTGGACTCATTTCTGGCACTCAATAAATGCTTTTTGTAAACAGAATTTCGTAACGCTCTTCTAAAGGATTCAGACTTGAAAACCATCAAGTTATAATCCGTAATTGAGTGTAGCCAGGTACAGCCCAGTAGAGGCAGGTAGGAGAGAGTGATGCACACACTATGCCCCCATCGTCATGAACTGTGAGAGAGTTTTCAGGGGAAAGTCGTGCTTGTGTTGAACAACACTGTTTTGCACTGATGAGCACAGTGAACTTTGTGACGTATTTCTCCTCTTTGCTTTGGAGGCTTGCAAGCCCAGAGCCCGAGCGCCTGATTAGGTAAAGGGGGAGAAATTTCTAATTTTAAATATAGGCACCACAATTCCTTTCAAGGAAAACACCTTGAAGCCTTCAAAGAAGTGAAGCCCCAGGGGTGCGGTCAAGACTTGAAGAAGCAAGTAAAATGAAGAGATGAGTACAGCAATTCAGGAGAGGAGGCAAACAGCACAGGAAGAGTGGGCTGGGGACCAGGGCAAAGAGGGCAGATGCCAGAGCAACATGGCCAAGGTCCATTGAAGAAGATGAGTCACAGAGAAATTCCCCATGAGATTAAGAGCAAGAATGCCAATTATTTTCAGTTGGTATGGTCCTAAGTGTGAACCCATTCTGTTGTCTTGAGCCTTTAGCAAAGGCTGCTACTCATATATATTAGGGCCAGGGGAATTTCTGGTCTGGTTAGGGGTCATGTGGTGCAGAGAAGAATCAGCCCATGCTAGGGGTGAGGGATTCACACACTGGAACACAGAGCAAATGGAAGTTCCACTCCAGGGGTCACCAGGAAAAATACAAGTTACTGCCCCTACAATTCCCTGCAAAACGAGAGGAATCATAGGCTGTGTGAAGGACAGGGTTTGAGCCAATTTCACTTGAATCTTAAAGGATGGGATTAACTCAAGTGGTCCTTTTGTTAGAATTCTGTTTTAACAAGTATTGTTCTCTAATTCATAAATCAAAACACTGGAATTCACAGATACCTAATTCAACTTTTCATTTTACAGTAGACTAAGGCACAGAAAGGTAAAGCTCCTTTCCCCCTTACAGTCTCTATTTCTTCACCTTTAGAGGTTTCGATTGTTAATTTTATAAATGTTAACTCACAAGCAAGATTATAAATTCTGCAAAGGCAAAGGTCATATTAAACAAATGACCTTCCTTCCTTCCTTCCTTCCTTCCTTCCTTCCTTCCTTCCTTCCTTCCTTCCTTCCTTCCTTCCTTCCTTCCTTAATATTTTTGTAGAGACAGGGCCTTGCTCTGCTGCCCAAGCTGGTCTCAAACTCCTGGATTTAAGTGATCCTCCCGCCTTGGCTTCCCAAAGTGCTGGGATTAGAGACATGAGCCACCATGCCTGGCCAACAACTGGGATTTCTATAGCATTTAACAAGTATTAGACAGCAGTGAGAAGGGGCCAGAAATGAACCCTTGAGAGGTAAAGGAGCAATAAACTAACTGCTTCCCCTCACCTTTCTAGAAAGCTCTTCTTCTTCCTGGTGCAAATGAAGTGTTTACCTCCCTGCTCTTAAGAAGATTACCAGGTCTCTTAGGTGGAAGGCTTCAAAGCGAATTGTTCTTGCTATTACTGATCTTTCTTTTCTTTTCTTTTTTTAAAAAAAAAAAACAGAATCTCGCTCCGTCACCCAGGCTGGAGTACAGTGGTGCAATCTTGGCTCACTGCAACCTCCGACTCCCAGGTTCAAGTGATTCTCCTGCCTCAGCCTCCCGAATAGCTGGGATTATAGGCATGCACCAGCACGCCTGACTCATCTTTTTGTATTTTTAGTAGAGACAGGGTTTCACCATGTTGGTCAGGCTGGTCTCGAACTCCTGACCTCATATAATCTGCCCACTTCTACCTCCCAAAGTGCTGGGATTAAAGGGGTGAACCACCTCACCCAGCCTGATCTTTCTAAAGAGCAGCCTAAATGCTGTTTACAATTCTTTAACTCCTCTTCTGTTTAAACATTCGGAAGCTTTCCTCTGAACTGGAGAGACAGTAACCTACCAGGAAAGAAACTACTTCCTGGCTTTCAATACTAAAGCCCAAACAAAGGCAATAATAACTCGTAATTATTTGTTGAGAGTTTGAAATTCAACCCCAACCCTTCTTCTGAATTCACCAGATCCTTTTAAAGTGCTAAGCATAGCGGTTTGGCCGGCAACCGCAGCCATAGAAAGCCTTCTTCATTTTTTAAATATTAGAAAACTGGAGTTTGAAAAAGTACAAAAACCTTCTTTCCCTTCTTTGGGTAAACAGCAAGTAGGTGAGTTAACAGCATGATCTAATAGCTATCATTTCTCATGCTAATCTGGCCAAGAGCCTCTGTACAGTTTATTAAAATTTGCATTTTGTCTGTACACCTTAAAGGGAGAATGTTAAATGTGTGTATCCTTAAAAATAATTATACACTTTTTTTGTTAAAGAAAAATATGCTGAATTCCTCTTTCCCTTTTCCTAGCACCCTCATAAGTAGAGTGTGAAAAAGGAGACAATGCGGAGAAGCTTCTTGTTTGGGAAGGTTTAACTCAATTTAAATTCCTTCCTGTATAAATGGTCAAATTCAGGAAGGAATGGCTTCAACAAGAGCCACGTGCACCCTCTGCTGGCGATCAGAGGGCCAAGGAAAGCATTTGAAAGGCCAAGGAAAGCAACTCCTTTCAGTGTGAAACTGGCCAGCAAGGGAGACGAGAAGGCCAGACTCAGAAAGTTAAAATCCCTGCTTTCACTAGAAGATATGAAACAGAAAACTTCAGTGACCTCACTCGCAATGGTGTTTTTCTTTGTGATAATCTTCCTTAAACACATAATCCTAGCTCAACATTTTTTTGTGAAGCTGATCTATACATGAAAAGGTACAGCTGTAAGAAAGGCCTGGTTTGTCTCATTTGGGTGGCAAAAGGTCCTGACTGGCTGACTTGAGAACCAAAAACATCTAGCACTTCTGCTCAGGCTGTATCAGAGTGCATTACTTTCTGGTCTTCCTTGGAGGGATATAAGTCCCATGAGGCCAGAGACTGCGTCATCATCAGTGCAGGATTCTCAGCCCAGACTCAGTGCCTAGCATGTAACAGGGATGTGAGAAACATCTTCCGAATGAATAAGAAACTATGAAGAAGGTTCTGGATGCAAGGTGCCTACGGGGCTGACTTGCATATAAAGCACACGCAAGGCAGGTTTCGAAGGCCATACTCAGCTTATTAAGAAATTTTTTCTCACTTTTAAGATTTGTTTCCTTCAAGTTTAATTCTAGATTCAGGGGGTATGTGTGCAGGTTTGTTACATGGATATTGCGATTACTGACCTCTCTTTTTTTTTTTTCGAGACAGAATCTCGCTCTGTCACCCAGGCTGGAGTGCAGTGGTGCGATCTTGGCTCACTACAACCTCTGCTTCCAGGTTCAAGCGACTCTCCTGCCTCAGCCTCCCGAGTAGCTGGGATTACAGGCATGTATCACCACCATGCCCGGCTCATCTTCTTGTATTAGAGACAGGATTTTACCCTGTCGGTCAGGCTGGTCTCAAACTCCCAACCTCAAATGATCTGCCCACCTCAACCTCCCAAAGTGCTGGCATGATGCTGACATTTGGGATATGATAGAACCCGTCACCCGGGGAGTGAACACAGTATCCAATAGGTAGTTTTTCAACCTTTGCCCCTCTCCCTTGTCCCCACTTTTTGTAGTCCCCGGTGTCTATTGCTCCCACTTTTCTGTCCGTGTGTACCCTATGTTTAGCTTCCACTTACACATGAGAACATGCAGTATTTGGCTTTCTGTTTCTGGCTACTTCACTGAGGAGAATGACCTCCAGCTGTATCCATGTTGCTGCAAAGACATGATTTCATTTTTTATGGCCATACAGTATTCCATGGTGCAAATATACCACATTCCTTTATCCAATCCACCACTGATAGGTGCCTACTTGATTCCATGTCTCACTACTGTGAGTAGTGCTATGATGAACATATGGGTGTGTGTGTCTTTTTGGTAGAATGATTTATTTTCTCACTAAGAAACTGTTCATGAATGCAGCACATGTGGCTTCATGACTGTATTAGAATGGATTAATACTATCAGAATTATCAAATATTTGTCACTTAACAGCTTACAAAATGCCTTCACAGGTACTTCATTTAATCTCAATACAGTCCTGAGAGTTGGTGATTTCCCCTGTTTTCTAGAGGGGTCCCAAGCCTGAGAAAGCTGGAATGATACTCGTAGGACAATCAGGTCGTCAAGCTAAGATTCACACCTGTTTTCTGTCTCTTAGTCCTGCGCTTGTTCCGTGTTCTCTGAGCCTCCATAAGATGTATTGGTCACCTCCTATTCTCCGAGTTGGCTGAGGCTAAAATTAGAGGAGGTAGTTACAGCTTTTAAAGCTCAGCCTGGTAAGTCGCACCACGGACATCTTTTATTACTTTTGATATCCAGATGATGAGAATTATGAAGACTGAGCTGCATGACACCAAATGGGTTAATGATCTTTTTAATAGCTTTCTTTTCCCCACTCTTTCCCCAGGATGTTACACAGAGACTCGCAGCTTCCTGCGTCACAAAGGTTTGCTTAAATTGAGACTGTTGAACATTTCCCCAGAAAGTGCAAACTTAGAAAACCAGAGCTGGGTCAGCGGTCAAAGAGATTTACGAGTTAGGACCAGAATGACCCTAGTCCTTGTTTGCTCATGACTTGGTCGGTCTGTTTGATTTCAAGGAAAGCAAATGAAAAACCAGAAGCCAAATATTTACTTAGGTCCCGGCTTCAGTCAGAGAACAAACCTGTGAGGAGGCTGCTATCAGGAGGAGGAGTCATTTCATGTCTTTGTACACGTTGTTCCCTAGACTGCCCTTTTCCTCTCGGTTGCCAAACATGCCCCTATTCAGTCTTCAAGGCCCAGAGCAAATGCCACCTTTCTTGCCATCCTCCCCCTTAGCATCCTGCGCCTACACATCTCAGAGCCTTTGTCTAGCTGTATCTTAACTGTTTGCATGTCAATTTCTCCCCATGACTCACAGTTCTTTAAGAACGGGGGCTATGTCTTTCATTTCTGTGTGAAAGAAAAATGTTGGTTATCAGAGATGAGTCCCAGAGCCCAGAGAGCACCAGTGGCCTTCAAATGTTTTAAGAATCACAACCCAGAGTAACAAATGTGTATTATATCATGATCCAGTAACAAATATGCACATGTGCAGATAGAAAGACATGGTTGTAAAATGGAAACGAAATTTCCCAAAATAATATACCATATGCAGTGCTATTATCTGAGATTCTGTTTTCTAGTTTATTCTCTATTCGTTTTTTAAATGTTAATTTGGTGCACCAAATTGATTTTATGATACACTGCTGAATGGCAACTTGCAGTTTGAGAAATATTATTGTAGGTAACACTTCATCTGCCATCCCCCACCACCCTTGCTTTCTGATTTTCTGTTTGTATCTATTGAATGCCTCGAACTGGAAAAGGAAGGAGGAGTTTTGATTGGGAGATTCAGCAAGAAAGAGAGTGCTAGAGCAGGGATGGAACACAGAGGAAACCATATTCTGCCTGTTTTTCTGTCCAGGCTGTTGAACTTGAGCTTCTATAAGTAGAAACTGATCAGACCGTAAGAAAATGTATACAGATGGCCTTGGCTGACAATGAGGTTACATCCCAATAACCCATCATTAGTTGAAAATATCGTAAGTCCAACATAAATTTAATTCACCTCATATATCAAGCATCATGATTTGGCATAGCCCACCTTAAATATGCTCAGAACACTTTCATTAGCTGAAAATTGGGCAGCGTCATCAAACACAAAGCCGACTTTGTAGCAATAAAAATAAAAGATCAAAGTCTGAAATTTGAAGTACAGTTTCTACTGAATGCATATAATATTTGTACCATCGTAAAGTCCAAACGTTGTAAGTCAATCATAAGTTGAAATTTGAAATTTGGACACAGTGGTTCATGCCTGTAATCCCAGCACTTTGGGAGGCCGAGGTGGGCAGATCACTTGAGATCAGGAGTTTGAGGCCAGCCTGGCCAACATGGCTAAAATACAAAATACAAAAATTAGCTGGGCATGGTGGCACACGTGTGTAATCCCAGCTACTTAGGGGGCTGAGGTGAGAGGATCACTTGAACCTGGAACACAGAGGTTGTAGTGAATCAAGATCGCACCACTGTACTCCAACCTGGGCTCCAGAGATTCCATCTCAAAAAAGTAAAATAAAAATGAAAAGAAATAAGTAGGGGATCATCTGTAAACTTCAGGCACAAACAAGGCTACTTAGGGGTCTAGATCAGGGGTCTACAAACTACAACCCTCAGGCTTAGTCTATCCAACCACCTGTTTTTATAAATAAAGTTTTATTGAAACACAAACATGCACATTTGTTTGTGTACTGTCTATAGCTACTTCTGCTACAACTGCAGAGCTGAGTAGTTGCAACTAAGACTGTATAACCCACAAAGCCAGAAATATTTACTATCTGGGCCTTGACAGGAAAAGTTTACCAATCCCTGGAATAAATGGACAGTGTTTTTTACCACTCTGGGAGGAAAGCAGCATGGCTCTGAGGCATCTAAAGCAGCGTGTTAAGCATGGGCAGTATCTTTCTCAAAAGAGGACATTTTGGCCCCTTTCCAGCATCCTCAGGCTGGGCTCAGGGCCCCCAGCATCACAGCCTGAGCAGGAGAGCCTGAACAGGGGAGATTCTGGGCTGGTGCAGGTACACTACTGCCCTTGGAAGGACCTGGGGGCACTTAGGGTGTTTCTAGGACTATGAAGATGAGGGCTCTTGAGTCAGTTGACACTGGCATTTCATTTTCATTCTTGTGCCTGGTGCATGAAAGAAAGATGCTTAGAGAGTGCTAAATAAATGTTTGCTAGAGATTTCTTAAGTCAAAAAGGAATTTGCGGCATGTGGTATAGAAACTGAGTTTTGTCACAGCCTCTCTCAAAGGCAATGCCAGTACAGAGTCCAGTGCCTGCAGCCCAGAACAGAATTCTTCGCTCCTGTTTGGAGAATAAGCCATCTTTTCTCAGCTGTTTTGGCAAATAATATCAAGGATGATGTGTATAATAATAATGATTATAACTAACATTTACTGAATGTTTATTAAGTGCCATGCAATATTCTAGGTCCTTTACATGTAGCAATTCACTTTAATTTATTTTATTTATTATTTATTTCTTGTTTTATTTTTTGAGAGAGCATCTCACTCTGTCACCCAGGCTGGAACACAGTGGCACGATCGCAGCTCATTGCAACCTCTGCCTCCCGGGCTCAAGCCATCCTTCTGCCTCAGCCTCCTGAGTAGCTGGGACCACAGGTATGTGCTGCCACACTTGGCTAAGTTTTTTGTATTTTTAATAGAGTCAGGGTTTCATGTGTTCCCCAGGCTGGTCTCAAACTCCTGAGCTCAAGCAATCTGCCAGCCTCAGCCTCCCAAAGTTCTGGGATTATAGGTACAAGCCACCACGTCTGGCCACAATTCACTTTAACTCTCTTAATAAAAAGTACTATTTTCATCTCATTTTACAGATGAGGAAACTGAGGCACTGCAAGATTATATAACTTGCCTAATGAGAAACAGCTAATAAGTGGCAGAGTCTGAATTTGAAAATGGAATGATCTTTGTAGCTTAAAAAAAATTGAATTGCTGGGATGAACAGAAATGATGGACAGCTGTTCTCTGGCCCCTGAGGCCAGAGTAGAGTCTAGCAAACAGCTATCCCCACAGCGCAGCGTGAACATCGGCAGAGGCTGGGGTTTGGTATCCTCTCCGGAGAGAAGGCAAGAGTTGAAGAACAGCAGAAGCCCATTCATTTCTGGGTGAGAAGGAGACAGCAGACCCTCTAGGAAACTAGTAGTAAATAACTGCAGACACTTCTCCGTAGGCAGGTATGGGCTTGAGCCCCCATACCTAGATGTTTAGGGAAGTGAAGTCTTCTCTTGTAAACACAGGCAATGAAGACTGAAATACCAATTGCTCGTCTTTGGGTCCCATAGCACCAGCATTTTGTGTGCAACACCGGGTAAGTGGTCAATGACTTGTTTGTAGACTGACTGACTTCTCCAGTCCCACCCTAGATGAACTCTTGGGCCCCAACCACTGAGCCTCTACTCAGCACTTGACTTGGCAGTTCGAACCAAGGACTGAAGCTTCCTGGACGGGTCAAAGGAGTTGCTTTAATTGACATCACAGGCATCATGGGGATCTGTTCGGCTTCCTCCCCACCAGGGAGAAAAGTCCTTCATTGTTGGCCATGGTGGAAGAATAACTTTGCGAGATCACTTCAAACTGTTCGATCGTGTAGCCAGCCTCTTTCACAGCAGCCTCTACTGCCTCCCGGCCCAGGGGGAGGCTGGAGAACTTCTGCTCACCAATCATGTAGTAGCTGCTCTTCAGCGCATCCATGATCACCAGGAAGCCACCTGGCTTCAGTAGGCCGCTGAGGTTCCTGAGCACCCTGCAGTAGGTGGGGAGGTCCGGGCAGGCGGCATCCAGGCACAGCGTGCTGAGCAGGCAGTCAGCCAGGGGTAGGGAGACAGCCCCCAGCGGCTGGCTCTGAGTCACGTCACACTTCAGCACCTGCTTGACCGCCTGCCTCAACCTTTCCTCCTTCTCTGGGCCGTTGACTCTGAAAAACACAAACCCGCAATCATTTCTACAAAACCCGCAATGTTTTCTACCGCAGTCATGGGGAACCCAGATCTCTTTCGAGTCAAAGGTAAAAACGGCAGTATTGTTCTAGATGTGTTTCCTTAAGGCCACCTCTATCGGGAAAGGAGAGAAAGAAGAACTGAGAGTCCATTTTGGCATTTGAATGTGACCATATTACCCTGAGCTACATGAAATCTCTTTATAAAGTGAATAATACATGAAAATGAAAATAATACTACCTAGCAGCCTGCTTCTACCATGGACTTCCCTCCACTGCATAGTAGAGAACTCATTTATATTATACGGGCTCATTTATTAGTATTTATTTGGTATTATGCTTGTCCTCTCTGTCAAATCATAAGGTAGCGGCTACTTGAACCATACACTTGAACCATACACACAGCAAGTATTAATAATAAAGGGTTTCAAATGCTGAAACATTATCTTTGTAGTGGTTGCTGATCAATAAGAGTGGTGAGGTCACCCACAGACATTTTTAGGAGCTATTGATCACTATCCCACAGCTGTGAACAGGGCGTTCCTGGAGAGAAGAAAGCTACATTTCCCATTCTCAGATTCCAAAAACTATTGCAGAGAGTATGTTTTCTGCCAGAGATCATATTTTTGGCAGACTTCCAGGAGACCTGCCCCTTTTTTTTGCTAAATCAATGGCATGTTTTGAGTTTTTGTTTTGTTTTGTTTTGTTTCTAGAGACAGCTTCTTGTTCTGCTGCACGGGATGGAGTACACTGGCACCATTGTAGCTCACTGTAGCCTCAAACTCCTGTGCTCAAGGCATCCTCCCACTTCAGCCTCCCAAAGGACTGGGATTACAGGCATGCACCACCATGCCAGGCTAGCTTTTTGTGATTTTCGTTTTTTGTTTTTGCGACAGAGTCTCGCTCTGTCGCCAGGCGCCAGGCTGGAGTGCAGTGGTGCAATCTCGGCTCACTGCAATCTCTGCCTCCTGGGTTCAAGCAATTCTCCTGCCTCAGCCTCCCAAGTAGCTGGGACTACAGGTGTGCACCACCACGCCCAGCTCATTTTTGTATTTTTTAGCAGAGACGGGGTTTCACCATGTTGGCCAGGATGGTCTCAATCTTTTGACCTAGTGATCCGCCCACCTCAGCCTCCCAAAGTGCTGGGATTACAGGTATGAGCCACCGCACCCAGCCACTTTTTGTGTTTTATAGAGACAGGATCTCCTTATGTTGCCCAAGCTGGTCTCAAACTTCTGGCTTCAAGTGATCCTCCTGCCTCAGCCTCTCAAACTTCTGGAATCGTAGACATGAAATGGTGTGTTCCTTGAGAGAAAAGTCAGTTAATGAAAGAATGAAAGAAGAGAAGGCAACAAGAGGAGATGGGATAGAGTGCCTTGGATCCTATTTGAATTTGTTAGAGGAGGAAGGAAGGAACAAACAAATGATCAAAATTAAATAAACAGAGTGCACAAGAGAAACTGGAGAGAGGGGCAGAAAAAGGAGGAAGTAGCAGAAAATCAGAGCAGTGAGAAAAGGGAAGCAACATTGAGTGTGTTAAGGACGCAGGCCCCACAGTATTAAGAGCAGGAGTGACCCCTGGTTATTGAGCTCTTGGAAGGAGTGAACCAGCATTATGGAGCAGAGACACCTCACCATCAGGAAACAGACACTCCACCAACTGAGGCAGACTCCAGGAGAAGACAGCCACTTGGGCATCAAAGCTTGACAGAAATAGCAGAGAGGGGCTCCGCCTTCCAGCAAGTGAGGGAGACTTTCACTGGGAGCATTTTTGGTCATGAGGAAAAGTCAATGGTTTAAAGAAATAAAACTTGAAGATTTATCTCCAAGAAGAATGATTTGAGAGAGTGGAAACTAGTCGTGGGCATCTTAAATATTCACTAAAAATCTTAAGCCTAGTGCATATAATCAGTTCTTTGCAAATATGTTTTATGCTTGCTATAATTTTCCATTTAAGAAGCTTAGCAATTAGAGTATGAAAAGATGCTCAACTTCGTCAACCATCAGAGAAAGGCAAATCAAAACCATGAGATACCAGTTCACATCACTATGATGGCTATAATGAAAAAAAAAAGAACAGATAATACCAAGTGTGTGAAGATACCAAGATAATGACAAGAATGTGAAGAAACCAGACCTACATACACTGCTGCTGACAATGTAAAATAGTCCAGTCACTCTGGAAATAGTCCAGTCTGGCAGTTCCTTAAAAAATTAAACATAGACTCACCACATGACCCAGGAATTCTGTCTAGGTGTATACCCAAGAGAAATGAAAACATATACCCACACAAAAGCTTGTAATGAATGTTTATACATAGCTAATGGGTGAGAACAGTACAACTCTCTGTCAACTTCTGAATAGGTAAATAAAATGTGGCATACACATACAATGGAATATTATTTGGCAACAAAAAGAAATGAAATTCTGACACATGCTACCATGTGGATGGACCTTGAAGACACTACGCTAAAGGAAAAAAAGCGGAACTAAAAGGCCACATATTGTATGATTCCATTTATATGAAATGCCCAGAAAAGGCAAAGCTGCAGAGACTGACAGCAGAACAGTGGTTGCCAGGAGCTGAGGGGTTTGGGGGGAAATACCAGTGACTGCTAATCGGTACAGGGTTTCTTTTGAGAATTACGAAAATGTTGTAAAATTAACTGTGATGAAGGTCGTGCTAAAAGCCACTGATTCTCGCAATTTAAATGGGTGCATTAATTATATGGTATGTGAGTTATATCTCAGTAAGCTGTTATATTAAAAGAGAGAGAGAGAGAGAGAGAAGCTTAGCAAGGTATTGATTTCAGGGAATTTCTACTGACCAGTAAACTGTTATCTACATAGAAAACAAAAATTATCCTGGGTTGGATCTACCTGCTCCTTTATCAAGGCTAGAAATGGTAATAGGGTGCCCACTTTTTCCTGATTTGTCTCAGACTTTTCTAGTTTTAGCACTGAAAAATCCCATATTCGGAGTCCCCCTTGCAGTCCTGGACAAAGCAGAGACAGTCATTCTAAAGGTGGGTAACTAGTTGCAAAGCTACCACCCAGCCTTGATACAACATGGATGGTTTGATAGAACACTTTAACAATAAAAAAAAAAAAGACACTGTGGAAATGAGTGAGAAACATGCATTTGAATAGAAAAATTAATCTAGAACAGAAAAACTGAAATAAGTTATCTGCACATAGGAATAATAATGAAGTGTATACCAAAAGTAGAGTAAGGACCACATAGTGTTTTGGGGGGTGTGTTTCTGGATGATCCTGTATATTGGGAACGTTGTGGAAATGTGCGTTTGATTACATCAGAAGCAGAATGCGTCTCTGCGCCCTACTGTGTATCAAGCTATTTGAAACACTTGAGTTACCACAGAACTAGAACTTGCCAGTCAGATGATGATGCAAATTGTTCCCAAACTGTGAGTCACCCTGTGAAGTCTCCAAAACTCACAGAGAATGTGCCAAGTTGAGAGGGAAATTTGCTAGAAACACCCAGTGTGGTAGATCCCTGCTTGTCCTTGGACACACAGCAAACACTGGGGAAGTCAGTTGCCAAGGCAGCTGTGTAAAGCCTGCATACACCTCAGGGCACCGCAGGGAAATGGACTCACCAGAGACCCAGCCAATTACCGCTTTGCCTCACGTTTAGCTCATGGGGTAGGTAATAAACACACACCGGGAAAGGGTTGTGCTGTTTCGCAGAAAGCTAACAGCGGTGTGGCCATTTCTTTAGTTCTAAAAATCTACCCTCTCGAATGAATCAATATGCAAAAAAAGGCAGCCCTGTCCTCTGGATATATGCATCTATAAAGGCCTGAGGAGTGTGGGGAAGGAGGGAGGGAGGCGAGACAGGATAAGGAGGAGGGCTCCTGGAAGAGCCCTTTCTGAGAATGTCTTCCCACATTCCCGGTGAACCATCCTGAGATTTAAAGGCAGTTCCTCTTGCCCTGTCTCAGCAAGGCGGGCAGTGGATCAGAATCTCCTGAACAAGCTGTTTTTCATTGTTCTCACATACCCCAAACCTCATTCCCAGAAGTTCCTGCAGGCTCTCTTGAGAAAGAACCATCAAAACAGGTCAAGGAAATCAAGGTTAACTAAGCTTGGAGGTCACTGTGAGAATTGCACAGGCAAGGAGTACTCATTGGGGCACCTTTAATACAGACCACACCCCACGCTCAAATCATGTGAATG